TTTTGGAAATTTAAGCTTATTTCTACATTTCTTTAGCTACTATTCAGCTGTTTTTGAGAAAAGATTTTTTAAGATAATTTTCAATTCTGCTTTCTTCTGCTAACTTATGCTTGTTCTTCCTTTTCAGCTGATTTCTGAATGTTTTTAGCTAATTTCAGCTGTTTTCCAGCAGGTTCTTCAGCAAGAAGCATTCACACTGCATTGTCACAGGAAATGCAAATTCTCTAGTTCATTAATTCTCTCCTTAAACGCACCAAAAACATGTCCAGTCTGAAAGTGAACAGGCTTTTGTCAGTGTTTGCATTATCAACACATTCTACCCGTTTTTTGTTTTTTTTTGGTTTCGTTTTGGGGCAGCATGGTGGCGCAACTGGTAGAGCTGCTGCCTCTCAGCGAGCAGGTCCTTGGTTCAAACCCCGGTCCAGGGGCCTTTCTGGGTGGAGTTTGCATGTTCTCTCCGTGCATGCGTGGGTTTTCTCCGGGTACTCCGGTTTCCTCCCACAGACCAAAAACATGCATGTTAGGCTGATTGGTAACTCTAAATTGTCCCTAGGTGTGAGTGAGAGAGTGAATGGTTGTTTGTCTCGTTTGTCTCTATGTGTCCCTGTGATGGACTTGCGACCTGTCCAGGGTGTACCCCGCCCCTCGCACAGTGATTGCTGGACATGGGCACCAGCGACCCCCGTGACCCAAAATGGAATAAACGGGTAAAGATAATGGATGGATGGATGGATGGTTTCGTTTTGTTGTTTCCTCTGTGGGCAGGGCGTGTGTTTGTTCCCTCGGGTCGGTGCCTGGGCCTAAAATCTGATCAGATTGCCTCCCAGGTAAGGCAAAGATTACTTTTCTAACCTTCTCGTACCTTCACGCAACAATGAGACGGGACAGAAGGAGCAAGTTGTTCAGGAAAATCTCCCCTTAGAAATAATTTTAATAAAAACACCCCCATCTGCTTCTCATGTCCTAATCGACATTGACTCAGTAAGCATGCGCCAGCATATTGGCTTTAAATTGTGTGAATGTTTATGAAGCATTCACACTATTGTGATCCATTTTTCTTCTGCACATTTTTCAGCATCTTTCTTGTTCCACAATGTTTGTGCTTTATCAACAAATCATATATTAAAACGTTCAGCTCTTTCAGCATGCTGCTATGACTTTTGGTATTGGTGCAACTTTAGCTTTTTGAAATATTGAGCCTTTTCTGCCACTTTTTTCCTCATAGAAAATTAATTGAGCTCATTTTACATCCTTCTTATCTTTAGATGTGTTTACAACCTTTTACTGCTCCTTTCACATTTTTTCTGCTTCAGCTTCTTTCAGCTTCCTTGTGCAAATTTAAACTTTTTTCTCTCTCACTATTTTCAGCTAATTTCAGCTGTTTTGTGCTCCTTCCCGATCCTTTCTGTTAAGTACAATATTTTTGAGCTTCTTCTAACTTCTTTTTGCTAATATCAGCTTGTTCTACTCCTTTCAGTTTATTTCTGCCATTTTAGCTTTTTCAGCTAATTCCATATTTTTTGCTCTCATTTCAACTTTTTTCTACCTACCGGGTAATTAATCAAAAATGTGCTCTCTCTCCACTTCCTTTGGGTAATTTCAGCTTCTTTCTGATTTTTTTTTCAGCTATTCTTCAGTTTGGTATTTTTGGCTAATTTCAGCTGTTTTCAGATAATTTCCACCATTTTATGCTCATTTCTGCTGCTTTTAGCCTAATAGGAGCAATCCTGTGTTATTTCTGCTTTCTTGTGCTAATTTAAGCTTGTCCTACCTTTTCAGCAAACTTTTTTTTTTAGCATTATTTAGCTCATTTCAGCTGTTTTCAGATAAATTCAAGTTTTTGTGGTAATTTTTGTTACTTTCAACCTTATTAACTTTATGGTATTTTCAGCTTGTTATGCTCCTTTCAGCTTATTTCTGCTTGTTTAAGCTTTTTCTGCTTTTTCAGCTACTATTTAGCTGTTTTTATGCTAATTTTAACCATTTCAGCTCATTACACATTTCTTGAGCTCATTTAATCTCTTTCTGCTTTTTTCTGGTGGTTTAAGCTTCTTTCTGCCTTTTTAGCTTTTTTGTTGTTGTTGCCAATTTCAGCTTTTTAAGCTAATTTCATAATTTATGTGCTCATTTCTGCTTATTTAAACCCAGTTCAGCAAAAAAATGTTTTTTCTGCTTTCTTCTGCTAATTAAGGCTCGTTCTTTCATTTCAGCTACAATTCAGTTTTTTTTATAGTTAATTTCAGCTGTTTTTCCAGCAAGTTATTCTGCAATAAGCATTCACACTGCATTTTTGCAGGAAAAGTAATTTCTCTAGTGATGTTTGTTTTTCTCTGTATCATCACCAACGCTAACACTTCCTTATAATTTGAAACAGGAAGGAGCATTGCTCAGAATAAGCCCTTGAACCTCCTGCTCTTCTTGCTCCAAGCCGTTTGTCTGAGAACATTTCTGCTCACCTCACCTAAACATCTAAAACAAAACCTGAACACTAAAGTCAAATTGGGTGACTCGGATGAGCTCCCATCCTGTAACCAGTCTCGCTGGTAAACAGAGGAGGGAAAATGTTGTGTTAGTTGATGCGGCCAATTAATTATATTGTAAGTCATTTAAAAATCTATAAAAGAAGTATAAACTGGTTTAGGCTGTTTGAGAAATTGTAAGTATGGTATTAAAAAATGCAATACGTGTATTTCAATTGCCTTGAGCGGTGTTATATTGGAGTCTTTTTTTTTAAAGGAGCTGTGTCTTAAAAAGGAGTAAAGTGTAAATTATGCATATCATTTCCCCTCTTTCCATTCCTCCTCTTTTTCTTTTTCTTTTTTCTTCTCTCTGTTGCACGAAAACATGGCCGCAGTCCACACATGCTTTGTCCCGCACGCTGCACTCACCTCCCTGGAGGTGGTCTCTCACACTGGCAGGGGGGGTGAAGTGGGGGTGGGGGGTACAGAGGTGTCGGAGCACACCAGCCTGCCTGGAAGAGGCGCTCTCTGGGTGCTGGAGGGGTGAAGGCTCCTCTGTGTGTTAGTCTGTTCATGGCTGTGGGCACTAAAAGTGTGTTATATCAAGCCCGTGGTGTGAGACTGCTACTCCCCCCACACCCCCCCTCTTCCATCTTCCTCTTTCAGACCTCTCTGGGTAACACAACCGTAAAACTACTTTTCTAACATCTCAAAAACCGGGTCAGATTTTACATCGACAAGCTGCGAAGACAAGCGCTCCAACTTTTGACGGAGGAAAACCTCCACACACTCGCTCGCCACGTGCACACTCTCCAAATTAGCTTCTCTTTGGATCAATGACAATGAGCTTTTATCTCTTCTGGGTCAAAATGCAATATAAAGGACCGCACGTCATCTCGGCTGCTTACAAACAAAGTCAGCATTTAAGAGAAACACATACAGAGACCAGAACGAAAGACAAACCAGCTCTGTCATTCAGCAAGGCAGCTGGTTAAGAACTGTTTTTTTTTTTTTGGGGGGGGGGGGGGGGTTGCTGGAAAAATGTGAAAAAGAGACGCTTTGTGCCCTTGTGTTAACTGAATGAGAGGCTCTCTTTAAATTCTGGATAAACTTGAACGCAAACAACTTCTAAAAAGTTGAATTTAATCCAAACCAAGGCATTACGAAGGTTTTATCTCATCAAAGCGGGACATGCTGTCAAGAAACAAGAAAGATGCCAGAAACATGTTTTTCAGTGTGTTTTGAAATGGTTGCATCTTGGCGTTTTCACCGCACGCTCCAGCATCATCGGTTTCACAAGATGCAGTTTACTGTTGGAGGGAAGCTTCACAATCAGGCCACCATTTGACATGATTGAATTGTTACCATTTATCTAGAGCAGGGGTCTGCAACCTGCGGCTCTGGAGCCACATGCGACTCTTTGGTTCCTCTGCAGCGGCTCTTTCAAGCTTTGACCAAAACTAACATAAAAATGAATTTTATTGATTGTTATACAAACAACAAAGGGCTAGTTTTAGCTGTTTTCCTGTCTTTTATTATTTTTTTTTTATTTTTTTTTACAAATATGTGAATACTAGAACCAGTACAAGGAGTAAAACATACTTTAACTTTATGCTTTATTTCTATACGTAATTAGTTTTTTTTCACAATTTAGAAAATTACATCTGCATAGTTCATAGTTTTTTTTAAACACCCCACCCCCTCACCAAACGTTAATACCTCTTTACAAGAATCTGGTCTTTTCATTTGTCTTAAACTGTAAAAATATCAATAAAAGTTGAAAAAATCATTAGATATTTTTAGCTTTCTAATGTCACCTTACTGGCCACAAAAGCCCCCTCCAACAAACCTAAAGTAGCCCATGAGCCACCAGTTGATAATTACGGTTGTTGTGCCTTTGGACACGGTTAATTTAGTGAATGAAGGCGTAAAAATGGCTCTTTTGATCGTAAAGTTTGCAGAACGCTGATCTAGAAGAACTTTTGTGATTTATTGCGTCTTGTTTTCCAATTTTGAAATGACTTATTCACAGTAAAACCTCAAACTTGTCCTGGCTGTCATTTTATCCCATAAGTTAGACTTCTAGAGACCACAGTGAGTGTTGGAAAAAAAAAAAAGAGATTTTCATTTATAATTCAAGCCATAACTGACTGTATTGGATAAGAAGTTATTTATTTTACACGAGCTAAAACTCTTACTTTGTATCCTCAGCAAAAAACATCCAGGGTCGCATTTATTATTGAGTATTTGCAATTTACTGTTAGATTAGCCCAATGATATTATTTTTGCAAATGAGATTGTGTTGCATAACAACTGAGTGAAAAGTCATTAGAGCTGCATTTTGACCATAAAATGTGCATTAATTAATTATTTTAGCATGTCAAACAGAAATGTTTGTATTTGCACTATGAAGGGACGAAGTCTTAAAAATTTAGTTTTATTTCTGTAGGCACCTAGTGTGATAATTAAACCCCTCACATTAAAGGAAGTATAATTTAAGTGTGTATTCATCCTTTGAGAACAAATATTCAGGTGTGCTACCTGGACGGAGTTGAGCCTGCAGTAGCCGTTGAGGGGGAAACGGATGACGTGCGTTGGGTCCTGGTTCCAGCCAGCGTTGACGGAGTTACACATGACGTCTCCGGTCTCGGGAAAGATCTCCTCTATGAGGACCTTCTCCCCGCTCAGGGCGATCCTCTCGCCGAGGTCAGGCGTGACACGAACCACGAGGCAGTCGCAGGGCTGCGCCATCCGCCGCTGTTCCCGCTCCTGCTTCCAGCGCTCCAGCTCCTTGATCATGGGCATCAGCTGGTAATAACGGGCCTCCTCGTACAGCAGGTGGAAGTCCTGCGTGGACAGATGAGCAGGAGGGAAGTGAGTTAAAGTCTTCTTGTTATACGTATAACACCATCACCGCTTTACAGCAATTAAAGGCTTGAACTTTGCCTAGCGAATGATAACATTTTGCTTAAAGATGCTGTTCAGACGGTTGTGGCTGTAATTATAGTTTAATCCCTTTCAACATTAGTGAAAAAGCACCTGTGCAGCACAGACATGCATGGAGGAACACAATCTATTGCAAAACGATGGATGAGTGAACTATATTTTTAAAAAGGCGCTTGTTTTTGCTAGTGTTTGTCTCTGTTTTTTAGTGTTACGGTGCAAAACCCTTTACCAAGGAGCACAAAGGTGAAATTACGGTTTGTCATCACACTGTGTGACATGTGTGATAATGACAGTGTAGGAGTTAGGCTTCCTTTTCTCACCTGAGTGAAACATGTGTCGTGTAAAGCCAGGTGAAAGGATGATAACCATAAACACGTGACGGTACATCCTCAGACAATGAATAACAACAAGCTGAGATCAGTGACGGCCTCTGACCAGCAGGACGACAAAGCACATCCTCGCTGCAGCTCTCCTCCACAGTTGCTCTCGGCAGATCTCTGCTGCCTTCGGCGGGTTTCACTGGGCTGACTGTCGGTGGGGCTCAGGCGAAGTGGGACGATGCATTCCTGTGTGCAGACAGTCTGCAGCAGATTGCCTGCCTCTCACTCCTGGGCAGGGCTTGCTGGGGGCCATTTGCCCCCGTGCGCTTGCCTCTAATTTCCCACAAGACCAGATGGCACCATCGTTCACTGTTACCACAGCAAATCCACGGAGGAGGAAGAGATGTGCTCGTGAGCATGAAGACAATCATCAGCTCAAGACTTTTTTTTACTTTTCCTCACACGGAGAGTTTTATGTTAATAAGGCTTGTGGCCCCGATGTTGAGCTCCTATTAGAACAAGATCTAATTAAGTTACATCTGAATACGGCAAACCTTTGTGCTAAACAATCAGTAATTATTACATCTGTGCTCTGATTAGTGTCTCACGATGGAAAATAATGGCAGCTTTATCTTTTCCTTCATGTAAAATTCATGTGTTGTTTTACAGCATTTAAAGCCATTGTCTTAAATAAATACAAAATGGATAAAAACTAAATAAAAAATGGTACATGTTTGTGATCAGGCAATGTATTTAAGTGCTGCTAAAACACCATATGTTTTATCTACTTATTGGTGGTTGTGGATAGGCCTGTCACAATAACAAATTTTGCTGGGCAATTAATTGTCTCAGAAATTATTGTGATCAACGATAATATTGTTTGAAATTTGACAATAATTAGTAATTATTGTCAAATTTAAGAAGAAATGTTGGTTAATTTTTATTTTGAGTGTAGTATATTTTTTCGACCACTGGATGGTAATATAAGACAGTTTGAACCAAAGGATGGATAGCGAGAGAGTGAGCAGCTTGTCTCTAAGAAAAATGGGAGGGAGGCCCCTTGATGTGACATGGTCTGTCTCTCCTTTTTTTTGGTCCTCAAAATGGCGGTCGCTTGGTGTGGTTTGAGCTCTTTAGCATAGCATTTTTCACACAAAGCTTTTAATTTAAAAAAAAAAAATCAGTAAACAAGTTCTCAGCTTCTTTTTGCAGAGAAGAACAACTTTTTACACGAAGGCATGGGTTTCAACCGTGAATTTTTGGGGCTTCGACAAGACCGGGGTGGGGGGTGGGGGTGGGGGGTATTTTACCCCCAAGGTTGGCCTGTTAGCTTAGCTCGTAGCTTAGCTTCTCAGCTTAACTGCTTTTAATGATCCAAAAATGTGATTTTGGATGGTTAAAATGGATTTTAAAGAGAAAAGAGAAAGGGAGGGGTCAGTGAAGAACATCGGAGTTGTCTTTTGTCATCCAGTGTCTTCAAGAGAGAGACACGAAGAAATGATAAAGCAGATAAATGAAAACGAGGGTGATCATTTTCAATTATTATGATATTAATTGATTTATTGTTTATTGCGACAGGCCTAGTTGTGGACGTTAGGCGTCAGGGCTGCCTAAAAGTTTGTTTCCCTTCTCCAGCCACTGCAGGCCACAGTATGAGAGGACGGCAGCAAACAGCAGATTCATTAACCTCGTTGCTTCTGTCAGACTCTTTAGCTTTGAAAAGCCTCCTCACTGCTCCATCTAAACTGTGTCTTCATCTGAGGCGAGCAAACGACACCCAAATGCAACTTCATCTTGATGCAACACATTTTCAGCTGAAGGTCTAATATTTAGGAATTCAGAACGTGAAAGAGAGGTTGGAGGTCCTTCTCCCCCCCTTCTCTCCTTTCTGTCTTTTTTTTTCTCCTTGCCTTCTTGCTGCAGCTGACAAAACTCGTAGTGAGACGCCCCCCTTCAGGCAGCTCTCTGTATCAAAGTGTAGCTCCTCATCCTTCACAGGTCTGAAGCCATGGATGGATATGTTTTTAACGGGGGTCTGTCTTCGAGGCACTTTAGTCATTCCGAGCAGCTCAGAAAACAACAGAGTAATCCTAAGTGTCGAGGTGAGGATGAGAGGGAGACGAGGCCAACAGCTCTGTCCTGGCTGCTGCTGTTACTGCTGCCAGCTCTACGAGACAATTCATCCCCCAATCCTGTGTCCAGACAGCCCGTTTGAGCTTCAAAATAATGATCCGACCTGATAGCCCGACGGCAAGGCAACATTTCAGGGAAGGACAGAGGGAGGGAGAGACGGAGAAAGACAAAAAGGGGAAGGGAATGATGGAGAATGTCACTGTGAGAGAGTTTGAGGACAAACGAAGACCCGTTTTAATCCAGAAAATGACTAAAACCCACACACGGAGAGGCTCGCACAACAAAATCCAACCAACTCCTGTACAACGAGCTCATTCCCATGCATAAAGAAAGAAGTGATGTGAAATGCTAATTTAAAGTCTGATTAATCTGACACGGAAACATTCCTGTTTTAAACCCCTGCCCCTCAATAGGACTGAGCATTGCTTACACTCTTTTGATTAATTGTAGTCTGAATAAAGGGATGATGGGGGGCATCAATGGGGAATATTTTGTTCCTTTTTCTTATTCTGCTCAGACTTTCACATTGATTTAACAAAACACACAGCGCCGTGGCTGCCAGCAGCAGAACAGAGCCGGCCCTCGGGCGACGGCAAGCCTGATTGTGTTCAGATAAGGACATGCTCAATTCCGCCTCGCACTATTTGCTTTTTTTTTTCCCCTCCTGGTTTCACGTAAATTGAAAGGTATGCAGATCAACACAGGCTTACGTGAGCGGGTCATAATGAGTTGAAACAATGCAGTCCGATGGATTCTCGTCTACTCCGGCGCCTGATTGGACTGTCAAGACTTCACAGAAAGCAGAGGGAACGAGGGGAGCATGGAGGTAAAGAAGGAAAAACTAAATCGGCTCTGAGTCAGACAGTCATTCGGTAAAATATGCAGAGCTTCGAAACGTGCTCTGTTGTACGAGGTTTGGCTCGTGTTTCCGTAGGGCCCAGTAAAATTGGCCCCGAGCTCCAAAAGTCCTGACCTCGCCTTGTTACCTTGTAGGGAATGAGGAACAAGAGCCAGCCCAGTGAAAAGGTCACGCAAGTTTAGGAGGAGAAGAAAGGAAAAGTAGAACATGCCCAGGAAACGGCATCACCAAATAAAAACCTTGGGAAGAACGGAGCTCCAGGCGTAATACACCATCATTATTACAAAGCCACATATGATTGCGTGTGAAAATGTTAGGCTGAAGACTAAAAAATAGGAAAAATAAATCAATGCAGGAGGTGCATAATCCACTGCGGTGTAAAAATAGCCATTTTTCCTTTCCTTTAGCCTAAAAATGTATTTCAGAGTTTTAAAGCTTATTTTTGGATGTTCAACAGTTTTAATTTGCTCTCGCTGCTGATATCAGCCTAATTTTCAGCAGCAGCTGTTTTCAGTGAATAACCTATATGTCAACCAAATGTTTCCTGCACCGTCAGCTTCAAGCTGGTGAACATGTTAAAGCATCTGATGGGGAGAATGGATACATTCTGTAGGGGTGTACCGGCTGAGTCACAATTTGGTACGGGTTTGGTACAATGCTAAAAATAACCAAATATGAGTTTGTTTTTGTTTTTCTAAACAAACTATAACCCTCACAGAAGATCAGACAGAAAAACAAAGCACCCTTGCTTGTGGGGAAGGTCTAAGCAGCAAAGGCAGGATCTGTCAACTGGTATATAAAAGCATTATTATTATTAATAAAGTCACATTGTGCTGTCTTTTTCATTCTGTTTGAATGGCAAACATTGTCTTACAGGCATTACAACAAAACATAAAAACAACGAGTGTTTGCTTCATTGAATTTGATCTGTACCTAATGCAAAAAAATTTATATATATATATATATATATATATATATATATATATATATATATATATAAAAACTGTATTGTTGTGAAATGTTAAAACACTAACTGAGCTTCTCAGCAAATGGTAGCGTAGGGAAAATGATTCTTGATATCAAGGATATCATATAATAAACAACATGGCCTGCTGCAAAATATTTCAAAGCCTGCATTATATGACATAAGTGCTTGCCTTACATACACTTAGTCACCTTTCACTTCTGTGGTGAAAAATGACAGAAACTTTTTTCACACAGCTGAATGAAAACAAACAGGTGGGTCTTTAAGATTCTTCAGGTATTTCTGAACAAACCATTCATGCTTTGATTGTCTTCCTCTGCTTTCCTGTTAGCAAAATGTAGTTAAATAAAACGGACCTTACGATGGGAACTGTGACCAAACATATTCATTGTGCAGCTCTATGTGTCAAACGTCTGTACACTCATGGTTTAGTTTGAATACGTGTACTGTTACACCCCTGATAGCGAATAATACTTGATGAATATTTGTCAAGCGACCAAAATACAACAAATAAATTACAATGGAACTCTGAATTTGAAGTTAGCTACAAAATGCCCACATTAAACTGCACACATTTCAGCATTCACAAAATGAATTTTGGCAAAAATATAAACTAAACTAAATTAAGCTTGCACAAAAAAGAAAACTACATGTGCAAAATAATATATGATTAAAAAAAAAAAGACTGTATGAGGAGCCATAATATAGGGTGCATGCTTTTGCAGACTGTAAACTAGCTTAATCAAGCACTGTAACTATAGAGCACCATGTTTGTGACCTGCAGCAGAGTGCAAGATCTGGACATGCACGGGTTAGAGAGGACACCAGCAGGTATTAAGCTGCAACAGCATTTGACTTGTCTGAGTAGGCGCTTGTGTTTGGGTGAGCTGGTCATCAGAACATGAATTAGAAGAGGGGCAACCAGGGGGGCTTCACCTGAACTCACCTCCATAGAAACAACTCTAGGTGAAAAACAACAGCTCAAGGCTTCGACACATACAACCAGGCCGTGCTCGGGTTAGCCAGTCAGCATTTTCACTTCTCCACCTGTGCTGCTTTTTCTGTCTTTTGTAAAAGTTTCCCAGTTTGTTTACTCTAGTACTGCTGGAATATGTGTTAATACTGTGTTTGGTGTTATAAAAGCACAAATGAGTCTTTTGTAAAGGCGTCTCATAGGCAACAAGAAAACATGAATAAATACAATCTATTTAAAAAGTTCAACCCTTATGTTTCTATGCAACCTTTATGAGATTTGTATACGTTTTGCAAATGTTGGTGCAGACAGATGCAGCATGCAGAGGTGAGGGTGTGATGGTGTATACCTTGAAGTCTTCTGGAAGGAGCAATTTGCTGGTCCTCAGAAAACTAAGAATGTAGCGGAATATCTCGCCGTCCCGATCTATGAAGTAGTGCTGCTTCAAGCTGTCCAACACAATGGGCTCGGTGCCATTGAACAGACGACTGATTCTGAAAATTGAAACACACACACGCACACACACACACAGCCGCACACACAAACACAAGCGCATAACAGAATGAGCCAGCTCCCTTCAAATGCATGAAACAATTACCCTCCATTTATTTTTCAATTTTATTAGCGCTAAGCTTGAAATGCATTAACATCACAGGTTGAAACAAGGAGCTTAAGGCACAGTTCCCCCATTCCAGACTTGTTTGAAGTGTCCCTTCTGCAAAGAGATTACAACAACACACACACACGCACGCACACACACACACGCCTGCTGCTTGTACTTACAGAAATTAATGGCATGAATGTAGCATTACAGCTCTATTATTCCATCTGTCAGAGGGGTGGAAGTGAACCAGAGGTAGGAAACGGGGATGGGCCACATGTTAATGTGAGAGGAGCATGCAGAATAAGAAGATATTTTACTGTTACAGTTTAACTTTACTGAGAACTCAAAGGGAATTTAGTCAGCAGCATGCTACTGTAGGCAATCCTGTTTGTGTTCAATAGAAATTACAATTTTAAATTTCGTCTTTCACAAATTACATGAGACACAGCCTCCAAATGTAATCTGCTGATTCTGTATTTATTGACTGAAGGGTGTATGAACAATCCTGTGTACAACTATATTGTCCAAGTGCTTATATGAGTTGAAGTCACCCTGGTAAAACAGCTCCAGACAGGCTGAATAAACAGCTTACATGAACATGAGGGCACCACATAAACGTGTTTAGTTTAAATTCAAATGTAAAGTTGTGTAATCTGGATCAGACTAAATACCAATTTGATGACAAAAACTTTAACATTCATGTGTGTCTCTGGACATGGGCACCAGTGACCCCCGCGACCTGAAAAAGGAAGAAGCGGGTAAAGATAATAGATGGATGGATGCATTAAAACAAAACCACTAAACCAAAGGGATGCTGTTTTCAAACAGGAAGTCGGTCCCAGCAGTCCTTCCTTCTATTTTATCTTCGAATGGTGGTTCCTATAGAGTTTGTCGATTCCTACAAATATTTGGGTATCTTGGTCGATTCGCATCTATCTTTTAAGTTCCATGTTGGAAATTTGGTAAAGAAACTGAAACTTAAATTGGGTTTATTTTTCAGAAATAGATCCTGTTTAACTCTGAATGCTAGGAAACAACTTGTAACTGCGACTTTCCGTCCCTCCATTGATCATGGTGACATTATTTACATGAATGCATTGTAAGAACCCTGCAGATGTTGGATGATGTCTATCACGATGCGCTAAGATTCATAACTGGCTGCAACTACCGTACCCACCACTGCACCCTGTATTCACTGGTTAACTGGTCATCATTAACTTCATGCAGACTCTCCCACTGGTACATTTTCATCTTTAAATCACTTCTTGGTCTGCTGCCTTCATACATCTCCTTCTACATGTCACTGCGTGAGTGCAGCTACAGCGTGCGCTCTCAGGACATTATTACCTGCAGTGTTCCCTCAGTGCGGACTGAACTAAACATAAGGGCCTTCTCCTACTCTGCTCCTGTTTCCTGGAATATCTTGCAAAAAGATCTGAAGCTCTCAACCATGACCTCTCTAAGTGACTTCATACATCTGCTAAGTTCCTGGAAAAAACCAGTGCAGACATGTTCTTGTTTTTAGTTTTCAACATCGCTTTACAACCTAGCTGTTTTTGTTTCGCTTTTATAAATACCATTTTCTTTTATTTGTTCTCAATTTTTTGATGCTTTTTATAATTGTCTACTATTGTCATCATTCTTCTTAAAATCAGGTCTCTCTTGTAAATGAGTCCCCGAGGCCCACTCTCTCTCTCTTTCTATGTATATGATATATATGATATATATATATATAATGTTTTGAGACTTTAATGTATGGACAAACTACCGTTACATTATATTATAAGACACTTGTTGTTGCTCTGAGACTCCCAGACAGTTTACCCCTTCCAAAGTTTCACAAGATGAAGAGCTTATTTGATGTTGGCTACAGGGGCTCATCAAGGCAAAGAGTGGAAATTGCTATTATCTTTAAACTTTCATCACGCAGCGTTGGTGCCGCGCCTCGAGACACCTTTTGGACAGATATTCATTTCCCCGCGTCTTTGTGTGGGTTTCCTTCCTCCTGTACCTGCAGGTCCCGCTCATCTAAGCACCTCCACTTTGTCTGTTTGCTCATTTCCAAATGCTAAAGATCCCTCCTTAAAAAGAACGGAAAACGCCAAGCAAAGGGTTTATTGAGCACACGTTTCCGAAGCGTCAAGATCAGTCGCTTGATGTGGAACAAAGCTTTGCGTGGAAATAAACACAGAAAATCTGGAGCCCCTTCACAGATTCACTGTGCATTTCCATCGTCTCGCTGAGAGACCGCTCTTGGCTGGGTTGCCGTTATTATCATGTTTGATGTAATCAGCATTTAAATCACAATATCATCTCCTAGGCTGGCTGACAAACTTGCGCGACAAAGAAAATCATCAAACCTATTTGCAAACAGGCCGACTGGTGCACACATTGAGCCCTGCCTGAGTGCGGGCATCGTCAAACTCCCTAGAAGATACTCAGAGGAAATGTCAGCATGAAGCGGAGGACTGGATCTGCAACAAGCTCGTATTTACTGGTTGTATCTCCAGACCCTGACGAGCTGTGGCTCTCAAGTCAAAGTGTTGTCCTTTCTTTCATTTAACTCAACGATGCGAGCACTCTTATGGATGCTTTTCCCTCTCCTCCTGCCGTCCGTTCTTCTCCTTCCCTCCCTCTGTCTATCTGTCCTTCTCTCTTTCTGTTTCTCACTCTGTCTCCATCCACTCCCTCACTCGCGTTCTCTCTGGAAATCGATGCAAAATGCTTTATAAAAAACCAATACTCATCTCCCTGTTTCGCCCGAGGTGTTCCTTTCTCATATGGTCTTGCAATTCTTCCAGCTAGAATTTCACCATACCCCTCCAGGCTAACTCTGTTTTTCATCTCCACTTTTTTTTTTTTTTAAAAAGCAATTAAAATGCTGCCTGTTTTTCTTTTTCTTTCCCTTTCCTCCACTCCCTTCTCACTCCCTCTCCCCTTGGTCTTCTCATTTTTTCCGTCTTTTCTGTTAAATCCCCAAATTGGTGAGTTGAAGGGAATAAAGGAGTTGGGGAGGGTGTGTGTGTGTGTGTGTGGGGGGGGTAATATTACCAGGTAGGAAGGAAAACAAAAAGGTGTAAGACTGAAGTGGGAGCAAAATTAATAAACAAGATGGACAAACGTGAAAACCAGTAAAAGCAAAGAAGGTAAATTAATGATGGAGGGGAAGATGGGAGCAACCAAGAGGAGAAAACTGAAAAATATCAGCAACAACAAAAAAAGAAAGAATAGGTAGGAGGTGTGTGGTGGGTGTAAGAGGTGATCAAGGACAGATCTCCTGAAGTAAGTGGGCAATATCTGGCAGCTCTTTACCTCAGCAGACACTGAAAGCTGCCGGGACAGCGTCCTTTAGAGGTGCGAGGACGACCCTGCACAGGCTTCACACGTTTTATAGAAAGAAACGAACAAAAGCCTAATGAGGACACCCAGAGACTTCCTGACGAGTGAAACAAATCCCATCAAGCCTGCCATTAAAAACTGGGCAGAATTGTTCCTAAAGAAGGAAATGAGTCAAAATAGCGAGTTCAACCGAACCAACTTAACCAAATAAACCGAATAAAAGCAGCTAACCAAACCACTCTGCTAATAGGACCATGCTGCTCTAGATGTATTTCTCTTTCACTTTCGGCTCCTTTTTTTTGTACTTTTGTCACACGCTTTGGTATTTGTTGTAGCTGTTTTTGTTTGGCGAGTCGAGACGGTTCTTCTCGTCCTGAGCATTTCATTGCATTGTTGACCTTGCGTTGATTTTGCATATGACAAATAAACCAAACCTGAACCTTCAAAATCAAAAGACTGGTTTGATTTCTCAATCCAAGTCAAAGCAGCTACAAATGAGGATAAACGTTTCCAAAAACCAAATAAATGTTGGTGAGAAAATACACAAGAATAGTTCAGATGCAGCCCCAGTTAAACAAAATTCTAGGTTGGGGTGTCGAACTCGGTTACCAAAAGGAGCAAAAATTTAAAAACTTTGTCCAAGCCACGAGCCACTTTCATCCGATACATCAACTCGAGTCAGATACCTGATATATTTTCTTGGCTGCAGGTTCATGATTTGGTTCATCACTTGACGTTCTGTTACTCTTCCCACATCAGAATCAATAATGACAGAATGATCCAGCCGTCTTTCTGGCTTCAAAGTTGGCCAGCTGGCAAGAGAAGTCTACACTAAATGATGTATTTATCAGTTTTTTTTTAAGAAAAAAATTAGAAAAGAGACAATATTTTACATTTAAATGATCATCTTGGGTACCAGATTTGGCCCGCGGCTCTTGAGTTTGCCATATGTGTCCTAGAGCAACAAAACACATTTTCTCTAGTGAAAACTTTTTGCTTTGTAAATTCACCACCTTGATGCCGTGCATTTAACTGAACTGAAACTGAAGAAATTATTGGCCTGATGATGTACCATGACCCAACTTTTAACTATTCGAGAACGACAATTAAATCTAATTTATGTTGCCAGCTGATTGTCCAAAGAAGACACCTCTGCTTTTCTTTGAACAAACACACAGTGAGTGATGGCGCCATTGTCTGCTGTAATCTAAAAGAAAATGGGCCACAGAGTTCGTACAGTTCTATCATCCTCGGCAACAAAAGGCTCATCATTTAAGAGAAAAATGTCTAGTGGTCCTATCAAAATAGTTCCCTTGTCTCTGGAACATTTCCCCCTAATGTCCTTGGCTTCTGTTCAAGTGAGAGCTGAGACTGTCCTCTTCTGAGAGCCACAGAGTGCACATCAATGTTTCATGACCCTTGTCCCTTAATATGGCCCACACAGAAGAAGATGAATATCCGCACATTACTTACTAGACTAACTTTCTCTTGGCACGCTGCATTATTTAGGGCCCAATCTATTAAAAGTAATCAGCGACTTCAGAACTCTTTCGCTTCTTTAAATCGTCACGTCTTCAGCTCTGTGCCCGTGTGCCCTGCTCGACTGAACGCGGCTGAACGTGGCACACATGGTTATGCCAGTGTAATTGTTTTGCTTTTTGCTGTCAGCCATTATCCTAATTCACACAAAAGGGCCCCTCCTTCCTCTGGCTTCAGTGGAAAGTGGAGCCCCGAGGGCAACTGTACGCTGAGGAGGCTGGGAGAGTGAGAGAAACACTGTGTCTGTGTGTGTCTCTCTGTGTGTGTGTGTGTGTGTGTGGGTGTGTGTGCAACCCAGAGTGCGAAAGAAAGAGCAAGAGACAGATAGATGGAGAGAAAAGAAGGAGCATGTGTGAAAAAAAGAGAAAAAGTGCACTCCAGCCAACACTCACACTGACATCCAGTCTTTGCTCGTGCTGTAAAAACAGTGTGGATGCTCTGACGTAGCTTCATTTCCCTGTGAGAGTATGTGTATGTGTGTGTTTGTGTGTGGCTCCTTGAATAACTTCTTTGTGAAGTGTAAATCTACTCTAAAGCATCAAAAAATAAAAAATAAAGAAACTGGAAGCAAACGATAAATAGCCACTGTTATGAAATTTAACAGCTATCTGTTCATTGAATAAAACAACTGAAATATTGTGCAGACAAACGTCTTAATAATAAAAACTGTACTAAACCTTTGCCTGGTTGGAGCTTTATTTTTCTCCTGACATGTTAGAATGGAATGAAAGGGAGAGCTGTCAGGGATTTCCCATCAGCACACTTTATGCAGATCAAGTTTTTATTAGCAGGGGATTACATGGATCGTTTCCTGTAGCCAATTTGGCAGATTCTCTGGTGGATGTTTACCTTGTCCCACTAGGGACTCAGCTGATGCAGAACTGAAGGCACTGTACTGTAATGAATGACACCGTACATTAGACACAATCTCCGATGCTGAAAGAGGAGGACGTTCAAATCAGAGGGGACGTTTTTGTTTTCTGTTTGGAAGCACGAATTAAAACCACTGTCAGAATCATAATGGCTGAACCTGACAAGTGAAAGTGAAGCCAAAAAGTGAAAGAATAAACTGTTTTGAGTTGTTAAATGATATCTGAAAGAGTGAAAACGCTTTCATTTTCATTTTATGGACAGATTATGTTAAAGTTCCAAAATGTCAGCTTCTGGTTCAATAAGCTGAAAGTTAAAACAAGAGATGGGGCAGAAGGAGGTTGAAAATTATCAAACGGACCAAATTACTTCACATAATCTGCATATTTCTGTAAGAAAATCCATAAAATTGGCCTTAAAAGGTCTTAAAAAAGAAGTCAATATGCAACACGTCAATTTGGATGTTAATCAGATTCATACAGAAGCCTTTGATGACAGGCTTTCGGACATTTACATCATTGTTTTCCCTCCGAGGATGTTTCACATCTACTGACATAAAAAAAATAAAGAAATAAAAGCGTGTTCAAGGAGGGAGGGGGTGCAAAAACTGCCCATGAGCTGCAAATTCACACAAATGCCACTACTGACATCAGCAGGGAAACAAGTAAAAGTCACACTTGAGACGTTTTTAAATTAAAATTATAAATAAGAATAATAAAAATTTAATAAAGCTTTGTTAAAGCAGATAAAATGGACCAAAGTCATATATTTTTTTTATAGTTTTGAGAGTTTAGGGAGATACAAGATAATAAAAATAAATAAATTTGAATGCTCCCTCCAATAAATAAATACATTAATTAAAAAATACCAAATGAATAGCAGAGCAGTTGTCCCAGTGCCAGTCATGTTGCAAATAATAATAAAAAATATGAAAATCCTGTTAAACTTCATTTAGACAAACAGGTGAAGCTGATCAATAAAATGTAAATATTATGCTGTCATCCAAACAATTCATTTGATCTATTTAGAAAAAAGTTCTTAACTTTAGGGGTAAATGTGTTTTTGACACATTTAAAATAAAATCAGTCACTCTGTCAGCACTTTTACAAAAAGCGTTTTGTTTTAATTGTTTCAATCAACTGATTGACTCAACAGACTGCAGAGAGCCAGGGGGAGAGACGCGTCTTACCTTGAGTCTGGGTACTTGGTGAGGGTCGCCAGGCTGCTGGTGTACATGTGGCCCCCGACATCGATGTGCACGGGGGCGTTCGCCTTGGTGAGCTGTGCCGGCAGAGGGATCCCCTGAGCGGCCAGAGGAGAGACCGGGGACCGGGTCAGAGAGAGCCGTGACATGCTTCTTCCCTCCTGAAAGCAAGTGTAGAGAAAAGCCATGGGACCAGAGGTAACAGGAAAAACTAAACAATCTACAGAGCCATCCTGCTCAGGAGAGGATCCTCCCTGGATCTGGCTGGTATCAGATCACTTCCATGTCTGCCTGGTCGCATGTTTAGCCTGGAAATTATTGCCACCGCTCTAATTAAGTATGTTTGCATCTTTTCATGCAGCACCGCGGGCGAGGATGGGAGGATGCTTATTAGAGAACAGGGTTGAGAGAGAGATAGACAGATAGTTGGGGTTGTGGTGATGAGAGGAGGAGGGGAGGGGGGGGGGGGGAGGGTAGGTGTCAGCCTCCAGGGGGATAAAATAAACTGCTGCTGCAATATTCTAATTAAAGGTCGCCTTATGTGTTAGACGTGATGCGCCAAGACGCACCAATCTGAGAGCAGGAGGGACACTGAGGGGAGGGCGGGAGAGGTGATGCTGGTGGGGGGAACTTTTCCTTCACTTATACACACACATTCAACACATAACAAACATTAAGGTGATGGCTTGTCATGTGACTCCACACAGGGCTGTGCGTAAAAACGCACTGGCTTCGCGTTAAATCAGCAGAGTCCACACCTGACTGACAGCCAGTCCGAACCAGGAAGTGTCCTGCTCAGTCTGAGCTGTCAGTGGAAGAACGTTTCCAGGTTCTGGATTAGAAAATAATGAACAAAAAGCAAGCAAACAAACAAATAAGGTAAATAGAAAGAATGGGTACATGTTTGAGACTGGGGCGCGCAGACGGAAGAGGCAGGGCTGCACGAGAAGCTTTGAAAGTATTTTAAATACTTTTGGACATTCGTGTGATTCTGATCACAGAGCAGGGGGCAGATGAGAATCACAGCCGACCTGCTGCTGCGTCAATTGTTTGCCATCAGCTGCAGAACCCCTAACATGACCCTCCACATGTGTTGCATGTTGGAAAGAGTCAGAATCAGAGCCGAATGTCCGAGTGTTTGAAGTTAAAGAAAATAGACTTTTTGTGAATTGAATGTAAATTTTATGCCACTTTTTGCTATTGTTACATCTGGCCTCATCATAAAACTTAAAATATAACTCACCGCTTCGCAAAACTAGATCAGTTTGTTAAATCCTCTCTGCGGCTCTGACAGAACTGCCACTGGGCAGCAAAGTGAGACAGGAGTTGTTTTTTCTTTTTGTTTGTTCCAGGGTGTTGCCCTCCTCACAGCAGTATCATGTTCGTTTAATACGATTACAGGCGGACGGGATTACATTTCAAATCCCAAGAAAAGAAAAGGGAGGGGAAAAAAACTTGGAGAGACATGAAAGTTGTGTCCCTGTCCCCTCACCGGCATCTCTTTCTCCCTGTGTCCCACCACCTTTACGCACAGCACGTTTGGACAATACAACCCAGAAAAAGTAGCCATAATTCTGCTCTAATTATTTTAAACTGTTCTTTTTTTTAAAACACCGACTTCTCCACACTACACACACATGCACTCAAAACGTGAAAAAATAAATAAATAAATAAAATGAAAGAAAGAGGAGCAGCTCTCTTCCTGCCGACTGCTCAGACATCGGAACTGATTTCAGTCCATATGATCCAGAATCACAGGAGGACACATGGAGGGAAGCAGGCCGACAGACAGAGCACCAACACGCCGCAGGGACTGCACAACCCTGAGCTCTAATGCTCAACATGGCGCCTCGTTCCTGCCGTGTGTACAATTAAACCAGCTGAATGTGCCATTCACAGCCCGCGTCATAAACTCCATGTTCACATCTGGCAGCCACATAAAAAAAGGTCGTCCAGTTTAGCTCAATCTGACACCGCACTTCGTGTAAGAAAACAGTGTGAGGAACCAGTCAGCGTACCGTTTCAAACATTGTAGGAAGTCCAGATGAAATCCGGTGGCCGGTCCGGCGGCTCAGTCCCAGCTGCTGAAAACCTTCTAGCTCGTCTCCAAACTAAGCCCCACGGTCCAGCTCCAGCACGAAGCCGCACCACCGCGCAGAAAGCAAGTCTTTTCTTAACCACCACCCCACCCCCCCCCCCCCACGACACGCACAAAAACTGCTTTTTTAGAAAGACGCAAGGATGTGTCCTGGATGGACTGCTCGCAAAGTGCCTCTGTGGCTTTAAAGGGTGGACAGAAAAAGGCTGTCTGGACCTGTCCTCAGCCAGCTGCTCGGTACCAAAGCGCACAGGAAGCGTCCTTACCTTGAACATAGATGAGCTGGTCTCCTTCCCCCTTCTCTGCTCTGATTCGGTTACGCATAAAATGTGCGCTCTCTTGTCGGATTCCCGCTCCGGTTTTCTGCCTCTTCTTATCCGTCTTCTTCTTCTTGTTCTTCTTGTTTTTTTTATTTATTTTTTTTGGCCCTAAATGAAACTGCCCCTGTGGTTTGTTATGAGACGAAAGAATGCCAATAATCCCTCTCTAAATAACAGAGCGGAGCTAAAAAGGAAAAAAAAAATCTTGCTCCGGGCTGCCGGAGCGCCTCTGGGCCAGGGATTAGGCTACAATTAGCTCAACCCCACTCTCTCGCCTCGGCAATTTTCCCAAGGAAGAGAATGTGATACCTCGCTATTCCTGAAATTATGACTTCATAGACATAATAACTTGTTTTCTCCCTTTTCTTTCACGACAAACGACAAAAAGTAGAGCGTTCCTCTGAATGGTGTGAAGTTGTGAGGAGGAGGGGAGGGGGGGGGGGGGACCTAACAGGCAAGTGTCAGTCTCTGAGCAGATGCAGATTTAGATTTAGTAGATTTTGATCATTGTCATGTCTGATGTAAGAGTTCCCCAGGCGGTCCACAGCTAGCAGGAACACATTTCCATGTTCAAAGCGCAGGAAGCAGCCACGGTCCATTCAGTCAGGCAACAACAAAGGTGGAGTAAACTTGTTGATAAAGAAGAAAAAGTGCAAATAAAGAGGTAAATCCTTGAATCTTTCCCCCTTCTCCCTCCCTCTGCCTCTCTTCCTCTTTAGCCCTGATGTCTGGAGTTGGAGCGGCACATTTCCTGCAGGCCATTAAAACCAAATGACGTCTGCGCGGACATGCATGCACGCTGCTGCAGAAAGCGCCCTCACAACCTGCCCGCAGCCAAACGCGCCATTTCAATTATAGCGCAGGGGCTTAGATGGAGATATCTGCACAGACCCCCCCCCCCTCCCCACCCCCATTCTCTTTCTCCCTCCATCTCCCCTCCCTCCTCTTCACTATCAAGTAAAAACCAAAAAAGACAGCCTCCAGACTTTTATTTTTTAAATTTTTAAAGAAAATTTTGTGTGATTATTCAGTTTAGACTCATTGCGCGCGATGAGGCGCTCGAGAGTTGCACTACTTCTCTCCCCCTTCGGGGGGGAAAAAAAAAAAGGAAAGCGGGGGAAAGCAGGTACAATTATTTATTTGTATGTTTGTTTTTACTTCGTGGGTAAACAACTATGAATAACTGATGCAACATTGAGCCCAGCAATTATCCGGTACCACCGCTTTAGCGCGACAGATGTTTCGTTTCTTGATATTTGGCGCCAACCAGTGTAGGAACTTGTTATTGGTCGGCGGGATTTACATAAAAACCTCATGGTTCCTTCATAATGCCACAGAAAACCGTGGTGTTTTATTGATCTGATGGATTTTTGAGGGTCCACACGGTCTCAAACCACTTTTAGAGTCTGTTTTGGGAAATCCTAAAGAAGGATTTGTTGCATCACTTTGCATAAAAGAAGTGATACCTGACAGCAGCACTGATGGGCGTGTGAGTCTCTCCTTGAGGCAGATCAACTTTTTCGTATAATTAGAGACACCCCCCCCCCGCACGCCCCGGAGCGCTCCCATCTCCCCCTGGCTCAGATTTGTTGTTTCCAGAGGTGAAAGAAGAGAAAAGAAAAAAAAAACCTGAGGGGAAATCAGATTTTTTTTCCTCATTAAAGAAAACAAGCCTGGAGTTAGTTCAATTACATGAAATATGCAGGGATGTTGTAAATTTAAAGATTTAAATAGCTTACAAAGTGGCCCCGGGCCCCATCAGTTAATTTCTTTAATTTATGGATTTTTATCGGTGTCTGACTGGAAGAAGTAGGTCATCTGGAGCATATTTGCATGCAGCTTGGAAGTTTTTAAAAGAAATCCAAACATCTGTCCTCCTGAGCAGGTGAGAAGGGCCTGTCATAGGATCCAACAGATCTGAAGGATCAGGACTGATCTGATGGTGATATTTGACCCAGGTAATGAGATTACTGATGTCTGGTTCCTGTCACGCAGCAGTAAGAGATAACAGCTCTCTTGTAAGTTTTTGTATGTAAAAACCACCTCAAATTAATAGAAATATTTTTACACAACTTGAAATCTGAATGTTTAAGTTGCATTCATCAGTCAACATTTCAAAGTGTTCCTCTGACTTCTCGTGCTAATGAAGTGCATGAATTAATGCATGACTCTATAGGAATAATAACTTGCCTGCAGGTCCAGAGGCAGGTGCTGTTAGTGGTGTGGCTCAAAGTGGCACAGAGGACAGTCCTGTCTGTCTCCCAGGTGCATCCTTTTAGCAAAAGATGATCACTGCATTAATGTTTTTAAGTTTTACTTTGCATCAGATTTTATACATGTGCAAATTGCCCCTGAAAACAAT